CACACACACACACACCACTCAACTGTATTGACTTACAATCCACAAAAGAAGTGTGCTGCTACTCACCACTACATTATGGATCACAATAGCCCAAGTGCCATTCAATCACACGGCAGACAAGGGCAGCCAGCAACCCAATCTCCTCCCTCCCCGGCTCTAATCATAACCCTGGGGCCGCTCCAAAGGGAAAGTGGATCCCCAGGTCCAGAGATTGTGGCCAGGAAAAGGCTTTACAGGGCTAAAAGCCTTTGTAATCCAATCCTTATTCAAGCCTGTATTCTCTTGTCGGGGTGAGAAAAGTACAGCAGTGGCTTGTCAGAGAAGGTGTGTGTGTCTGTCAATGCATGTCAAAGGGCTTACAGTATACACACACACACACAAATACTAAAACAGTACGTGCCAAATCGGTTTGTGGTAAGACGGGGGGCCGAGGGAGGGGCTACGCCTCACGAGTCTCTCGTAAACTCACAAAAATAATGGTTTGAGCCGGACAGGTGTAAATAATCTATGTTCTGATGAGAGCACAAATATCAGCTTTCATCCACGTTTGAATTTCCCCTTTTCTATTTTTAAAGACTGCCAGTCTCTGTAGACAGTTTGGTTACTTAAATACAGCGAGGAACCCACGCAGGAAGGGGCCAGTTAACTCCAGGTGTGCCCAGGTGCAGGGTTAAGGTGCAGCCAGTGAACCCGGGTCCCCCTCCTCCACACACTGTGGCTCTGAATGAAGGCCTGACAGCCAGCCTGCCACAGCGGCGTGAGGGGCTCGTTCACAAGTGGAGGGAGGCAGAACAAACAGGGAAGCGGAGGAGGAGGAGTGTGCGGTTGCATCTTGACCTGTAGTACATTCAGGTCTCGTCCATCCATCACAGCTAAAAGCCGGTCTGGGACTGCTTAGGGACTGTTTTGACAGCGAGCTTTCAGGAGGGAGCAAGCGTCACACAGTCGCCTCCCTTCTGACATTTACCTTGAAATGTCTTCACAGGTATTGGCCTGCTGGATGGTCACAGATATTTAATCTAAGATGGTTTATTAGACCCAGAAAATACAGTCCAGATGTTTGATGGATTCACATGAACACAATCGGAATGATCTTAAAAATGAGAAGCATAGGAAATTCTATGGATGCCTCTAGCGCCACCGTGAGGTTAACATATCTGCTTGTTTGGATAGACTGTCGACATTAAAAAATATTAGCATTGTCACTGTGAGCATGTTAGCATGCTTACGTTAGCACTTAGCTCAAAGTACAGGCTCACAGAGCCGCTAGCACGGCTGTAGACTCATATATACTCATACATACATACATATATACATATATACAGACACAAATACAGGCTGTGGGAGTTTCAGTTAGTCTATAATCACCTGAATATAGGAATTTGTTTTTGTTCCCTTAGAATGAGTCACTTTAATCTACAGACGCTGCAGGCCGCCTTCTGTTGCCGCCACGTTTAACCGCCATGTTTCTACCGTAGCCTAGAACAGACAAACCAAACACGGACTCTAAATTGGGCCTTTCGCAGCCATTGTAGTTTCTCCCTCACGCATGGAAAAGGAGGGTAAAGCGACTGAGATTCAACTTGAAACCACACCGCTAGATGCCACTAAATCCAACACACTGGACCTTTAAATGGTTGTAAGAGAACCAATTTTATGGTGTTTTAATATAAAATTCCTGCTGTATTGTTTGTATGATTTTTGAGTTTCAGATTTACTATTTTAATCGTATTGTTTGAAATAATTATTTTTTGAACAGTATCTAAGCTCTACCTGCTGGAATAATGCGACAACTCACTCCTCTGGCCCTAACAGAGGAAACAGAACCACGTTAGAGATTATTTACACATGTGCACGTATGTGTGTCTTTTCTGACCTGTGAGCAGAATTCTGAGCCAGAGCGAGAAGGTGCAGCAGGACCTCCTCCTGGGACAGTATCTTAACGGCATCCCTCCACTGGAGCTCACCGCTGGAGCTCAACACACACAGCACGGTGAGGACCTGAGAGGAGGAAGCAGAGACATCGAGATGGTCAAAGCAGTTAAGAAATAAGATATTAATGTACACACACATTCAGAGCTACTGGTGGGGGAAGTTGCTCAGGGCCATCCATCAACACAGCTTTGGTGTCCTCTCTGCAGTGCGGCTGGCAAGTTGCCCCAAAGGGTATTTTTACCACACCGGTCAGATCCTCCCTATGCACACCCTAACCACGGGTACACAGCTGCCTCGCTCTCTCTTTCACACACAAATATATGCATGTATATGGATGCACAAGCAGCTGCGTGCACACAAAGATGTGCAGAACTGGAGGCATATTCACTCTTTCTTTCAGGCAGTAATGTGTTCTTTGTCTACTCTTACAGCATCTATTCAGCTTAACCTCCTAAACTTGATTTTCTGCTTCCTTCACCCCTCGCTGCTTCCCCCGCCTCTCCATCCTTTCAGCGCTGTTTACTTTGCCCGGTCACTCCTCCAGAGAGGGAGGCAGCTGACCGAGTCAGAGGAGGAAAAGGCTAGTTTTCCACCGCGTGAGACCCCCGTTAAAAACACACATCCAGCAGAGAACACATGTTGACATTCCTCCTGCATATCTCAATGATTATTATTTCTTTCAAGGCCCCAACCTGTTATTAGAGCTTTAAAATAAAGCTTGCTTTATAGGATCTGTGTGGGTGGAGAGCAGGACGAGCGGGCGCATGCAGTGTCTGTGTGTAAACATCTGTGTGTGTGTGTGTGTGTGTGTGTGAGAGAGCATGGATAAAAGACAAGGTAGCAAGGTAGACCTCCTAGCAGCTAGTTTGTTGTTCTGACTGACTCTGAATGGTCCGATAGTTCAAACACTGATCGTCATTATGTTTAAGAAACAAGTACCATACAATAAAACCCTGGATTTAATAATCCATCCAAACATCCAAACATGTACATTAATAATTCAACAGCAAACAAAAGCTAACTGGATAAGATTCAATGTAATACTCAGCTGTCAACAACCTTATTTACAGTAAAAATAACTGTATGCTACCTGCCCAGCACCGAACGGGAGCCAGCTAGAGCTATCGACTAACCCTAACCCTAACCCTAACCCTAACCCTAGCTGGTGTGCATACTGGAGCATTTAGCGGCTAAAGAGACATATCTTTCTCAGGAGTTAATGCAAACTAACTTCTCACTCACTCACACAAGAATCCATCTCACCAGGCTTCAAGCTACATGCGTGTGTCCAAACCACAGTGGTTCAGACCAATCAGCGTCCTATAAAGAACTACCTGTAGCTATAACGACAAATTACGTCCAAGTTGTGCTTTCAGTTTGTTTTTGCTGCCCCAAGTGGCCAAAAAAATCCATTAATGCAGCTTTAAGCATACTGCAAACACATTGCTCCAGAGAGTAGAGAACAGTACATCGTGTACACACACAGCTCCTGATGTCCATATTTCATGCTGTTGGAGAAAAGTCATTTGCTCTAATGCACCAACAAATAGTGCCAAATAACTACAGCAGCCCATTACACTTGTCAGGGAGGTTGTGGTGGACATATAGGGTATTTTTCAGGCAATATTTCACTGAAGTCCATTGGCTCCTGTCAGCTCCAATGAGAGTGAATCAATCATTGGGCCTGCAATGCCAAGCCAGCGTCATTACTCATTTGACCGCTGCATTTCTCTCTCTTTATTGCATGACTGAGAACATACACAGTTTAAATCCCGGCTATTGCCTGTGTGTGTTTCACCGTTCATCCTCCCCGTTAGCTTCCAACCCCAGCTGGTCCGACCGTCTCTGCTGCCTCTGACTTTTACAACCCGCTTTAATGAGCTCCCGTCTTGCAACACACTCGACTGCCCTCATACTCAAATATACACAGTCACAGGAAAACAAGCCAACTCAGGCATAGGCGCATACAGACTTCCATAGCTGTAACATGCAAATAAACAGTGATGCCCACCCTGCATGAACAGACGCACACACACAAAAACATTAATAAATAGAAACGTTACACTCTACCCAGCTTACGGTGCTGTCTGGCTCTTATTCTCTGAGCAGATCAGAAGCCAAACCATGACCAAAGAGAGAAAAACTGGATGAAAATGTACTACATGACTTTTATTTAAATGTCAAAAAAATCATAATGAATCCAAACCCCAAATAGGTTTTGGTGTGTGTGTAAAGAAAAAACATTTTTTTCACAGCACAGTGATCAGAAGACATCATCTGCTCCTCAAGCTGCAGCTCTGTGTTATAGCTGCTGTCACAATATCATCACGTAACATCTTTTTCTTGCCTCCCTCCTCTTCACATTACACTCTTGAATGGAGAAGACGACCTAAGCTCTGACTCACAAAACCAAATGATGACTGTCTGAGTTTGTGTTCTGCTGAATTTTCGTTTTTTACCGAAAGAAACTCAAAGTAAAAAAACAGACTACATCTGCAAAATCTGCACTCTCCACTGAGCTTAATACACTTATTGATGCACACTTATCCTAGCACTGCATCGAAGCAGTATTCAGAGCTTCCACGATTCATGATGGTGTCCTGTGCCACATCAGTCCACGTGTATATAAACTGGTTTTCAGACCAACAGAAACTCTAAAATCTGCTCATTCTGAGGACACAATGATTCCTATATTCAGGTGCAGGTACATTTCTGCCAATATATCCTCGTAAATGTGACTCACTGGACTGTTGATGAAACTGACAAGAACAGTTTATCTTCCAGAATATATGACAATTATCATATCCTTTTATCCAAAATGTTGAGAAATATGTGCTTGTAATTGCATGAATGTGCATTCTGAACGTCACCTGACTGCAATGCTGCACTGTTGATCCTATTTATCCGTTCTTTACTGCACAGGGAAATAAAATGAAACCAACAAAGCATCTCTGTGTGTTTGAATAAGTGACAGGATGTCCTCATTAATCATTAAAAGAGTGTTGGTTAGCAGTTACTGGAAACACGTCACACAAGCATGTGTCATTCCCTCATTCAATTTTTTATATAAATAATTTGGTTTCTGGACAGGAACCCGATATGGAAACATCTTTATAGGATACTTTACCTTTGCCTCTTTACTGAATATTGTCTAATTCTTGGGAATGTGAAGAGTCATACTTTCAGGCTACCATCTGCCCTGTTTCCCATATGAGTCCTCTAATGCGGCACATTCCTCTAACACATGTCTGGAATAAGGACTCAAGATGACAGGATCGTTTTCTTCAGACTCTGGAAGCATCGTCACCGGGTAGAATATCAAAACCAACACAATGTCCTTGGCCTACTGCTGCTCCTGCTCCTCTCCCAGAATGCTTCACCCGGGCGAGCTATGGCAACTGGCCCGCTGGGGTTGGCGTGTCCTTGGCGCAAGGGAGGCTCCATTTAACGGGGGCCGACACTTTAAACATTAACGGCTGGCCCGTAAAGCAGCGCCTGGTGAAGAATGCACAGCCAAACATACGCACATGCACCAACCCCCCCTCCCCCCCAGAAAAGCTCAAACACAACACATAAAACACACACAGCCGCTCAGACCCGGCAGTGCTGAGTCATGTTCACGAGTGCCAGGTCTGGGGGGTCCTCGCCCATTTCTACACCACATAACCTCTTAATTAAGTCCAGAACCATCCACCTGCACTAGTCCAGATTAGGTAGATTGAGGGTGCCATGAAAACCAAGAACGCATCAACAACAGGACAGAAAGTGATTCTTCTTCAGCGACAGTGCAGTCCTGCTTTCAGGTAATTTGAGGTTCTGCTGGATCTTTTCCTATCTTCTATTTTCAGTTCAGGGTCACAGTTACACTAAACAGCATGTTTCTGACCTTTGTAAACAGTCAGACTCCTGTGAGGACTGTGATTGAATGAAATCTAGACTCATTCTCTCTCCCATTCGCTTACCCTCGTGCAAACAGCAGCTGCAGGTGGCCGTCACAGGTTTGACTGACCAACTCAAAATGTGTGATTTTGTAATTACTTGTTTTTTTTCAGTTGCTAAAAATAGTAAAGATCGTTGATTGTTGAGTCTCATTCCCAGAGACCCAACAACCACCTGTCCTTCTCAGCTCTGATCGGTTCTTTTCATTCAGGCTCAGGTTCTCAGAAATGGTCCAAAAATGTCTGATTGGTTTATTACTTGTTTTTGTTAGTGGCCGAAAATATTAAAATGATCATTGATACAGGTTTAAATATAATGGCGATGCATTTGCTTCACCAGGGTTCCCACCCTTTTTAAGAAATCTTCCAGGACATTTTCCAGGACATTTTCCAGGGGTTTTCTTGACAATACAGGACAGCACTTGCACACTAATGGTCATATAATTTACCAGTAGCCCTCGGAGCTGGCCAGCATTTATTGGACAGGGTCGTAGCAGAGTTGCTCCGATTCCTCTAGCTCAAATAGAATTTACTTTATTTGACTGAAAATTCATCTTCCAGGAAGTTAAAGTGTTTGTTGCACGCATAATTAACATCACTGTGCATGTATTTATCAACCACAACAACAGATATGACGCAGAAAGATCGCTTCTGTCTGATAATACTTTAGGTTTAGGGAAGAGATCTGAGTGAGGGGCTCAAACACCATTTCCAGGACAACAGAGATTATTTCCAGGATTTTTGGTAATTTTAATCAATTTCCAGGTGTTTCCATGTCTGGAAAACTAGTCTCTAAATTTCCAGGTTTTCCAGGATGCTCAGGGGCCTACGGTAACGTCAGCTCTGGAGGAGTGTTAACGACAGGCGTAACAGAGCAGGTCTGCCGGCGGCTGCCTGTCCTTGCTTTATGAACACACTGAAATAAGACCTTCTGTCCCCAAACAGGAAACAGGCTGCATTTTCTCCTCCAAGACTTGTTAAGAGTGAAAGCGTACCAAACCTCTCATGAGTGTGTGTAAGTGATTGAGAGTGCGAGAGAGTGAGTCAGCTTGCTGCTAGCGTGCTTGGCGTGTCCCCCTGTGGCCGATTATCCTCTCACGCAAGCCTCTGCAAGATGGATTTGGACATTTAATCAATTTGCAGCAACCGTCCCTGTGGCTCCGTAAAAACTGAGATGAATAGGAAAAACATATTTTTTGGAAAGGGCTCATCATTGTGTGATGACAGGACTCTGAAATCATGCTGCTTACAGCCCGTCACAGACTCACACACACACACACATCCATAAAACAACCAGACACACACATATAAAGGCTCTCAAACACACACACAACAAACAACCTCCTGTAATGCTTTTGTGTGTGTGTGTGTGTGTGTGTGTGTGGTCTCACCTTGGCCAGACACTGGGGGTGTGTCTCATGAAGAGCCAGGCTGGTCAGGTTAGACAGGGTGGTCTCGTCCAGCCACTGAGGCCTCCTCTCCTCCTCCTCCTCCTCCTCCTGCAGCCTCCTCAGGACCCCCTCCAGTGCCAGCTCCCTCACCTCGTACTGTGGGCAGCGCAGCAGACTCTGCAGGAGCTGGCTGGTGAGCCGAGCCCCCCCCCAGAGATCAGGGATCTCCACGCTGGCACTGAGGGCCACCCGGGCCAGGCTGAGCAGGTACTGGGTGCTGCCGGGCCCTAGGGTGGAGGAGGAAGCGTCGGAGGTGACGAGATCTGAGGCCACGAGGACGGACAGAGCTTCCTGTCGGAGGTCACCGACGTCTGAATCTGAAACACACACAGAGCTTCACGTCAGCTGAACACGTACTTATGTTGTTCATTATTGTAATATTTTCATGATCATCATTTTATACTTTTCTCTCCTCTCCGGTGCTAATAAAACAAATGTGTAATAACAAATACCAATTTAAACTGCTGTCTATTTTCATATCTGTAAAGTTCCGTTTTTGTACCTATAAAAAAAAAAAAGGGGGACCCTGAAATCTGATTGGCCAATGGGTTCTGCGGATACCCCCACAAGTCTCCCCTTTGCAGACGTGCCCACTTTATGCTAATCCCATGCAGTTTTGGACAAAAACTATGCAGATTTTCACATGTGGTTTGATGTTCGACGAGTGTATTTGAATATTTCTGCATACTGGGGTCTTAAATAAATGGAGCCCCTCTTGTGGCACCCCAGTCAAAAAAGTCTGGAAGCGCCCCTGGACAGCAGCAGTTTTTCACATTGAATGTCTGCTTTTCTATTTTCTTTTGAATCCTATTGAAGCGGAATCCTGTTTCCAGTGAGGATTAATAAAGTTCTGACTCCATTAGGCATTGCCATGTACATTTAAAACTGCAGTATCTGAGTTTATTGAAATATTCCCAGTGCCTTCATATGTATCCAGCGTCTCTACGAGCTAAACAAACAAACACACACAGTCCTTTGTGAAGCAAACAGATGCAAACAACAGACCAGACTGAAGCAGCCAGTGTCCTCTGTTCCTTTCTATTTTCACTTTTATAGGAAAGGCTGCGTCAGTGTCTGTTTGGAAATGCCCATGCCTGTGCCAACCCAGCCACCTGTGAACATACACCCTTGGGGAGTGATGGACACACAAATAAACACACACATGTTCGTGCACACATGCACGCACACTTCCTCTGAAATATAAGTATAATCCAAAGGCAGGGCAACTATAGAGTAACCCAATGCCATTCTAAAGCTGTGCTCCTCCCTACAGTATTGCTCTAAGACTCCACACAGACCCTGCTTTGACAGCCAACTCAATTAGTTTGACACACACACACACAACACACACACACACACACACCACACACACACACACACACACACCACACACACCACACACACACACACACACACCACAACACACACACACACACACACGACAACACACACAAGAATTAGAGAAAGCTTATGAAACCCCCCTGCAACTCAATCTGCCCTGCAGCCGCCACTCTAAACGTGCCTGACAAAAGAGCGGGAAATGCCGCATTCCTCCAGAGATGGGCCAGGTTACTGTGGAACCTGATCCTCAAAGGGGGTCCGGGGCCAAATAAGCATACCCTAATGGTTATAATAGAGGGGTTAGGGGCACAGTAATGACACCGATGATGAAGGGAGGAGAGGAGGAGGATGACTGAAGGAGAATGTGAGCGTGTTCAAAGAGAAAACGGCTGTCTGTCATGGAGGAGAGAGAGAAACAGCATGCTACCATTAGCTTTGTCATACATTCATACCTGACTCTTACACACAGATACACAAAATCATTTACACACGCACACTACACCCTAGACAAACAGTGAAAGAGAAGCCAATCGAGAAGCAAGGAGGCTTAAGAGCCGTTTCTTTCAACAGAGTCCAAGTGCCTCATTAGAGAAAGGCAGAGAGAATGGAAGCTGGAGGAAAGAGAGAAGAAAATGAGGGAGGGAATAAGAAAAAGGAAAGAGGAAAAAACATCATTAGTCAGGATGCAAAGCTGTTTTTTTTTTATGGTGGGTTTTATTAAAATAGAGTGTGTGGAGGAATGGAGGATGGAGGATGGGGTGTGTGTGTGTGTGTGTTGTGTGTGTGTGTGTGTGTGTGTGTGTGTGTGTGTTGTGTGTGTGTCAGGCATTCCCTCAGCAATGAAAGGCGTTCCTGGGAGGGCCATTTCAATGTGATTTTTCATGGTCTGATCATAAACAGCCATTGTTCTCCCCACAGCTGTGTTTATTTAAATCCGACTCTACAACACTTGTGGTCTCTTCACGCCGCTCGTGTGCAAACCTGCAGCTGGCCCGCGCTCCAGGCTCTGTTAAGTTGTGGTTGGCCGTCTGATATTCGGGATGCTCTGGGATGAGGCCTGGGGGCTCAGGGATTACAGTATGAGCATTGAGATCAGACCGGTGTGTTAATGAATGTCGGTGAAAGGTGCAGGACTCAGTGGAGTTCACGTGTGTTGGTCTACACGATAATTCAGAGATAAACAAACACAGTGTGAAGGTGAAAGAGGGGAAACTTGTACCACAACTTCCAGCAAACTAACAGTGAATTTATAATCACACTTTCACAAAGGCACTTGTTTTGTACATCATCAGTCTGCATGACAAATATTTTATTTTACTATCACATCAGAGAGAAAAACAGCTCCTCTCTTCAATCAATAACCAAAATAATACCAATTGGTTTTTATTAAGGATCTCCGCCTTGGTGCACAACAAATAAACATAGTATGAGATTAAATATAAATAATAATAAATTGGAAATAGAGACAATAAAAGAGACAATATATACAATTATGTATTATGTAGCTATTATGTTAGTTATATGTTCTGTGCCCTTTGTGTTGTATTATAAATGTATATGTTCTGTGTCTTTTTTTTGTCTTGTGATGTTCTGAGACACTGAAGCAAATCCCTAGCAACTTGCACTGAGTTGCATGGCAATAAAGTATTGAATCTTGAATCTTATATAAAGGCTACTATTTAAATAAATGAATAAAGAGTGGTGCAGTTTGGGAATGTGCGGGTTGGCACTATGAAGCGTACAGGACATTAATGTAATGCATAGATTCGCCCCCCTCAGCCTCAGCTGCACTTCGTGCTAATTAACAAATGTTTGCATGCTATAATGCTAACATTAGACGGTGAACATGGTGAACATTATACCGTCAGAATGCTGATGTTAGCCAGAAAAACCACTGTGCATAAGTACAGGCTCTTTCATTTGATATGAAAGTGGCTGGAAGTGATTATTATGAACAGAAATCCTTTAATCTGATCACTGTAACAAACTATTTATGATTGAGCAGCAAGTAATTTGATCAAAGCATCGATACGGTTTGCAGTAACCCGATTTCCCGAATAACCAAAGTTTACGTTTTATGGTTGATAATCACATTCGTGTTGGAGGGACGTGTGGCAACGTACAGGAAACATGTTTTAGTTCCACAAAGTGAGAGAACAGAAACACTGCTGCATGTGATCTGCTGGAATTATTACTAGCCATACCAGCTCTCTCTCTCGAGTACAAACACAAATAGATATCAGGTTCAGTCTACAACCTTCCTGGAATAAAAACATGGAAAGAAGTCCGACTTGGTTGTGGTCAGTGGTTGTGCAGTTGTCGTGTTTTAGTCAAGAAACCTGAGACTTGAAAGAACCAACCATAACTTGACGTTATTAGCGTGCTTGTGTAGACGCCCCAAATGAAAAAACTGTAGAAGAACTGCAGAACTTTAGAATAACCCAACAAACATGCAAATAACACGCGTAAAAATGAAAACAGTCTCCATAAAGTTAGAGAAGCAGATTCATCTGTGGGGCGTATGTTTCGGGGAGATCTGAGCTAACCCGTGTAAAGGTTTATGTGTTAGCGGGAGACAGGAACACGTGCGATGGCCTGTTTTACAGCGTAGGTCAAATATTTAAACTAAACCTACGACATCTGGTTTAAATAAACCCAGTCCGACCTTACAGTCGGTGGTTTAGTGCCAGATTTGCAACTGGATTTGGATGGAGGGTCCAGTCCAATAACACCAACAGTGTGACACCAGGCTCTTAAAGAAGTGTCACTGGGAAAGAGACAGACAGAGTGAAAGATGTGTGATGGTTGACCGCGTTATGCAATGCTTGAGCACAGATGATGATGGTATCGCTGCGTTGTTTAGAGTTCGGTTTGCATTGATGTAGCACAAAACCTACAACAAAGTGCTGCGTACTTGGGTGTAGGTGCATGTGCCAGTAAGCTCACTGGTTCCCCATTAGCACCGTCCGCAGCCCACTTAAAGCTGGCAGTACCGACTCTTTGCTGCGTCAAGCTAGAACCTTGGCTAGACACTTGCACAGGCTCTCACATGCAAGCACACAGCTGGATTTCACATCAGCTTCCACCGTCATTACCCAAGCTGTGAAAAACAAACCCCAGACGCTACGTGTGACAGTGTGAGAGAGCTGACCTCTTTCTCAAGCTGATGGAGCTTTACAATTTGCTGAGGTCCCTCCCTCTAATTACCCTAAAAACTCTGTGCCTACATATATATACGGGTGTGTTTGTGGGTTGCTCGTTGTCCTAAAAGTGATATATATAACAGCATGCTAAAATGACGATGGCCTTTCAGCCACAGCAGCTGGTAGATTCCTAAATTCATGAGGAAGTTTAACTACTGTAATGGTCAAATTACTATTAAATAATACTAGTCAATAGTCTGCCAAAAAACACGACTAAGGCAGTGCATCTACAGGACGGAAAATAACGCTTTATGATACGATTCAGGGACGATGCTATTCAACAATTCGATTTGATGCAATCTGATACAGTTCTTAACGTTTGTTGAATGTGGACATTTACTTTCCATACTAAACTAAAATAAGCCAGTTCTTTAAAAATGACAGTTTACCTTCAACCTCGGCCAGATCGATCCAGGGGTCAGCGTACCGATGTAGTTGCATCTATAATGTTAAAACCGATTTCAAACTCGTATCAGTAAATCTTTACACCCTCCAGACTGAAGCTCTATGCTTTCATCTTGTTTTCATCTATAATGTAAAACGATTCAGCAATTATTGAGAAAAGAAAAAAAATCTACATTTTTAAGCAGAAATACTATTTTATTTTCTTCTTGACCCCTTAGATGTATCTTGCGACCCTTTTGTGGGTCCTGACCCCGAGGTTGGGAACCCTGGTTCTAAAGAGCGTAATGTATAGACCGGACTGTATTTCACAGAGAGAGGAAGAATACAAAGTTCTTCTTCTTTTGGCGTCCCTCGAAAAAAGCACAAAGTTAAAAGAGTCTCCAGATATGGAACTACATGGTTGACCGAGATGTCAACTACGAACATCAATCTCAGCTAAAGCTGCTGGGAGCCTAATTATGGTGACACGCTTCTTGTGTAGACAGCTTGAACTTAAAGGATATGTTTGGATATTTTCAAGTCGATCTTAATACAACAGTCACATGCCATAAATGTGTGTATGGTAAGAACTCATTTCTCCTCCTTTCTGATGCAACTACACTCCATCTTTGCAAAAATGCTCTCTAATGTAAGCTGAAGCTAATACGAGCTCCACAGGGTATCTTTAAGTTAAACTTTAAAATCCATCTGTGTAATAACAAGAACTGCGGCTTTTGTCTTGCATTTCTTACAGTGAAGTCACGCTAAGAGATCTCTTCATTATGGACGGTTTACAGCAACCAATAACTCTCAAAGGTAAGATATGACATCTGAGTGACCATACGCCTCCTTTAAAAGACTCCACTGCTTTAGCATTGCACGGACCGCCGACAGCTCACCTTAGAGATGTATTAGGCTAGTAGCGGCTAATGTAGCTCCGGGCTGATGATGAGGATCATGCCGACAGAAGTCTGGCGAGCTCACTTAGTAAACCACACCAACAGAGTTTTGTTGTTTTTCAAACTTTCAAACGCTTCAGGCCCGACTGACATCACTTGAGGCAATTTATCAGATTTCACGCAGCCACAGAAAGCTTTATGCAACGTTTTCATGCATGCAGCAGAGCTCACTGTAACTGTAAACTCACTCTGAAGTGTTAAATTGGTGTAGTTCCCTTTTAATATCTGAGAGGAAGTCAGTCAGTCTGCTATCATGAGAAGATGATCATGGAAAACTACTAGTTTAGCACAATTTACATAAAGATTCTTGGTTAAATAGTTTGTTCTTCAGCACAGACACACTTGTTACAATGCCAATAAATGCCTTTTCCAGATTCCCAGGAATACTGACTCATTTAACATCATAATCTACCATCATCTACTTCCACACCAATGGAAACACATGAAATTCTAGCAAATTCACTAAAACTTTAAACTGTAAACTCTCTCCCTTTCCTCTACCTTCCTCAAACTTTTCAGCTCTTTTTACTGGCATGGCTGCAAAGCAGACTGGTGGAGGTGGAGATGAAGCAATGGACAGTGGGGGATTTTTTTATGAGTCCGCATGGATCAAAGGGCTGAAGCAGAGTGCACGCACACACGCACACACGCACACACACACACACACACGCAGACACACACACAGGCTTGTGTTCAGAGTTGAGAGGATCTGGCTGCTAAATGCGAAGTTCCTACTTAATGCAGGGTGCCAGTTAAAAGGGAAAAAAGAGAAGTAATATTGAAAAAGCCAGTTGTTCACCTCCTTTAGTCCCACTCTTAAGAGCCTGCTGCTTTCAGATGAACTTTGAAAAGTGGAATTACACGCGAGTGAGGGATTGGAAATAAAAAAGAAAGACAGACCAACAGAGGACTCAAAGAGGGTGAGAAATGAAGCCAAAAACAGACTTAAGATAATAATAGAGCGGCATTAGAGGTGTGTAAGCTGGAGGGAGCTTTAGTTATGTAAGGAGCAGAGCCAAGTCGGGCCAGGCTGCGTCCTCGATCTACAGGCTTGTTTTGAGAAATCCTCGGTATTTCCACTGTCAAGACGAACATGTGTTCAGCACATGGTTGACCAAAAAGTGCCTCCCCCGCCTCTCTATCTTCCCCCTCCCCCCCTCTCTGTACAGAACTCCAACATAAACTGGGTCATAGGCACAATCCCACCATCTGTCAGAGATCGCTCGCCTTCGGTTTCACATTCCTCGGCTGCGGAGACCCCCACCGGCCCGCGCACATGTGCACACAACCGCACCACGAACACAGACACACAGACACACACCAGGGGTCTTCTCTGAACTACCCGAGACATGAGGCCGACTTCTGTCAACGATCAGTCTAAATGGAGAGTGCAGTGGACAGCCTTGCCGGCAAACGTCGCGGGGTCGTCGGTTCAGACGTAGAAACACTCAAAGTCAAATTCACAGCGAGTGGAGGGAACACAGTTGGTGTTTGCTGAGCTGATAAAGTCCCCGGCAACTGGCTGACATCAGCAAAAGACCATAGGAATCAGTTTTAGACTCAATGTGAAGTACAGTCGTTATTAAGTGCTCAATATATTTAGTATTTATACTAGTATTTTTGAGGATTTACCAGTGTATGATCGTTTATTACCCTAAAAAGGTATCAACTCCTATCAAATTAATTTTGACTTTTACTTTCCTGTTTGCTAAGAATAAAAGGAGAGACTCTTAATGCAGTGGAGCTTCAAATAACAACACTTGTTGCTCAGAAGACATTTGACATTACGGAGAACGAGTGCAGAAATTCACTGTTTTGTATCTCTTTAGGACAAAACACGTCAAGTTAACGTCAGGCAGGATGCGATGCTTCTGAAATGCTCTCTTGAAGACACATAGATCACAGAGTGAAGGAAGTTTTATCCCTTTTTAATGATGCAGGTTCATTAGAGGAAGGTGGTAGGTGTTTATCGGATATGTCTCAGCTTGCTTTCCGTCTCCAGTGATTTGACTACAGTTTACTACAGTTTCCCTCAAACCAAGGTTTACGTAGGCGATCTGAGTAAGAGGCTGAAATACAATTAAACATTTCCAGGACAACAAACGTTATTTCCAGGATATTGGGTTATTTTTAATCAATTTACAGGAGTTTCCATGACTGGAAAAACAAGTCTCTAAATATCCAGGCTTACCAGAATGTGTGGATCAGACTAAGAACGTCTAATAAGGAGGGCCCGAGTCTACTTCCAGGTGAACTAGTGCGGTTTGTGTCTGATGTGGAACGGGAAGGACTTTATGATAGTATTACTCTTTGATCCGACTGCTGCAAGCTCATCTGGTAACAATGGGACACAAATGTAGTGGATTCTCTCTGATATATAAAGTGAAAGTGAAAGACTCACGACCCCGCAGTAACTACTTACCATCCAGAAGACTGATCTTCGGCCCACACAGGCACACCAACACATCCAGAAAGGCTCCTCTGGTCACCACACAGCTATTTTGTCTGAAAAGAGAAGAAAAAGAAGTTTCTTTTAGCGATTTAATTCAACAAATGAAGCTTGGATTGATTAGTTCTGCCTTTGATCTAGCACAGAAAATCAGTTTGACCTAAGAAAGATGATTCTTTGGACTCAATTCTGGATCTGAATTTGTCAGGCAAAACACAAAGTTTGTGCTTGAGAACCTTTTATAATAAAGACTGCCCTTAAATGTCCCTAACCACTTCAGAGATAACGCTGCAGCCTCCAGTCAGCTTCTGAGATCCCAGATGGAGATTCTCCTCAGACTCGTGTCTCACCACAAACATCTGAACTGGGTCACTGGACACTCAGTCACTCAGTGTGAGTCTTAATTGAGAATATAGAGAATACACGGTGCGTTTACATGCAGCCAGGATTGTACATCTCACCCATTTGTGCGTCTAAGGTCAAAGTTTTTGACGGTCAGGAACACTAATGAAGCCATTACATATAAAACAGCATATTAAAATACACAAAATACCATAAATGTAAGAGATCAACTAAAAATAAAATAGACTTTAGAGTGCCAAAGGTTTACAATTTGAGAGTCGAATAATCTAAACATATACGAAAATACACAAAATACCTAAAACTAATAATTCAATTCTTCCTTCATCATGTTCAAACAATCATTTATCTTAATTCTGGTTACCTTTATTGAATGTTTGTATATTGAATATGATACTTTAGAATCTCATTTTGGATCAGTCGCAGTTATTTTCATGGTTCTGGACAGATTTTAAGTCATTAAAGTTGTTTCTAGGATGAAATCTTTCACATGAATATTAAATAAATAATAAAAAGAAATAATCACATTTCTGTTTAATTCTGGTTCTGAGGCATATCTTTTTTGTTATCCGTCTTATTTTATGTGTCTGTAATTCAGACAGAACACTTAAAACATTTATATCTCGTCTCAATGAGGCCTTCCGGGTTAATTAAAGTCCGCCTCCAGTCAAACATCTGTCGCCTGATGTTTGATCTTCACTGTGCAGAATGATGTATGAGCAGAGTTCGACACTAGAAGGATGTTTTCACATTCATCTGCTAAAGGGGAAATGTGTGATCCACCAGTGCACAAACACTGAGAATGGACTTTACAGTTGGAGACATCTCTTGCATATTCATAGATTTGGGATTTTTTAATGAGGTAGAAGGAGTAGATGACTTTTTCAGGATTTCAATGTGGACATTTTTTCTTTTTTTAAGAAAAAAACATATCAGACTGACATTGTTTCAAGCAGACTGTCGGTATATAAGTGTGGAGGGGATCTTTAAAGATAAATCTAAGTTTTTTAAATGTACTTAAATGTCAACTACATAAACAAAAAGTTACTGTATTTCTGGGTCAACAGCTCGCAGGAGAATACGCACAACAGGACAGTGGTGTGTATGTGTGTGTGTGTGTGTATTTAATTTGTGGTGAATCCTTAAAGCCCAGAATGTGGAACCATCACATGAGCTGCCCGCAGCTGTATGATCAGACATTTGATAAATTCACTCACAGTTTACACACACACACATATAAACAAGCAAAGGCTTGAAAAGAAGAACCAGCTGTAATTACGTCCTCTCTAATCGTAGACACACTAATTGATTTACTGTGCAGCCTACGACTCTTTGGTTTCACTACAGTCCTGATGGAAGGTTATTACTGTTGTATCATTTGTGAAAGCTGACACAAATGTCTTATATCTGTGTGTAAGTGAAGCAGCATGTGTGGGCAGCGCAAAGTGTGTGTGTTTAGGTTCAGTCGAGGGTATGACCACGGCGTGTGTGTGTGTGAGAAAACAAGGGAGACAGTGTGTGAGCTTGACGTCACGTTTTCATCACTCAGATATTAATAAGACACACGCCCTCACCCAGATCTTCTGCACACTTCTCACACACACACTTCTCACACACAAACTTCACACACACAAACTTCACACACACACACATACACAATACACGTGATGGAGCATGGGAAGAGGGTAGTGTGTGTGTGTGTTAAGTGAGAACAGATTTGGGCAGGGATGAGTCCTGTGAAGTGGGTTGAGTGTGTGTATGAATGTGAGGTAACATTATAAAACAGGCTTTAAGAGATGAAGTCAATGCTAGACGTAACCTTATTAGGGCGGCCGCCTGATAGTCGACTTAATCGTTAGTCGATGAGAAGAGTTGACGAACTTTTCATCAGTCAGATAGTCGCAGAAAACAAAAACAACTGCGCCTCGACCAAAGTATTGTTGTAACACGGACCTTTTCTCTTCTAACACAGGGAGTCTCTTACTGCGCCACTGCTGCATATGCTAACTGAACCAGCTGCTATTAGATAGTTAGCGGTCCCATTAGCTGACTGTAGGAAGAACTGGGGGAAGTTGAAGACCCGGCGGGTTCAGGCAGCGACAGGAGAGAAATGAAACCAGTTAATTAGTCAGTAACTGTT